AGCTCTATTTTTAAAAAATAATAACTAAAATACTAAGGAACTTTGGATTATTTACCTAACCAGTTCCTTCCTATTTTCTATAAATTTTCACGACGTTGACATTATATTAACATTAAAACAGCATAATTGCATATTAGGATTTTTGTTTGTTTTTTCCGTATATTTTTCTTCACATATATATATATTAACCGCGTTCACCCCATGCAAGGCGGTAAGGCCAAGTAAGACACAAGGCCTCGCTGGGTGTTGAAGTATTAGAAAAAAGAAAGATTACTAAGGAGCGAGAAGAAAAGAAGTTTAATCAGGAAGACAGCAGCTAGCGATCGATGGATCAACTGGAAATCAAGCAGCTTATTTTAAAGGAAGGTTCTTTTTGTTGAAAATAAAGTTTTCCGTAAAAAATCTGACCATTTTAATACGGTAAAACTTCACTTTAAAACAAGTTTGTACTTTTTCAAATATCATAGACGGTTTTTATCTCGCATCCAACAATTTCATTTCTTCTTTGCTGATTGCTTCCTTTATGATGATGGCGTTGATGACAAAATACAGGTTCAGGAACTTCCTGTTTCGCCAAAACTTGCTTCCGTCAGCCATTCCTATCGCCGTTTGGCTTTGCAAGTGAAAAAAAATCAGAATAGAACAAAGTGCCGATGGCGTGTTTTGTTTAAGATGGACGTCAACTTGACAGGTTGTGACCCAAACAAATGTTTTATGGTGGCAGCATTCACTGATTGGATAGATTTATGAATGGAGTCTGGCGAGAAAAATTGTTTCTTACGACACAGCGAACAAACCTGTCAAATGGGGTCATGGTAGGTAATGGGTTAATAATTGATAATGAATAAATGATTTTAATTTGTATTTTTACTTACACTTAAGGGATTGTCTGATTTGCATATCTTTTTGTGGGTCAAGATACCGCCCACAACAAAGGCACATAATGGAATAAATACAACGTAGGCAATACAGGTAGTTGTTAATCGCATAACTATAATAGCGACTTAGAGGAAGGGAGAAGAAATTATGGCCTTGAATTTTTAAAAACGATGCAAATAATAAACGATTAATTAATCGATTTAATTATTAATCTATAGCCTCTTTCTTATTTAGTCTCTTACTCAATTAACCAGTTTTTTTTTTGTTTTGTTTTTTGTGTAACCCTAATCTGCAACACTCAATGACTTGGAATTAAGCTGAAGAACTTCGGGATATGATCAGAATAAAGCCAGTGCACTAATATACTTACAGTTAAGGGATTGTCTGATTTGCATATCAGAAGAAGGAGACTATAAACAAGTTTACATGCGAATTTTTGCTGCGTTAGAAGATGTACTAAACGACATGAATACTTTTCAACACGTCACATTTTTAGTATCCAAATAAAAATTGTTACATATTTGCGGCCAGGCTTCCCCCTCCTCCGCCATATTTAGCAGACATTCCAATCTTTGGTTTACCATTTATTCTGATTGTTACAGAATTCTCTTAACTGTTTATTTATATTCTTATTTATTTATGCAAAAAGTAATTTTAGCTTTGCTGAAAAAGATAAATGGTTTTAGGAAGATGGAAGAAAAAAAGGTTGTCTGAAAGATGGCAGAAGACGCTGAAACAAAATTGGAAATATATTACTGTTCAATAAATTTAAATGTAGATTTTTGACAAACTTGAACCTATGTGCCCTTAAAAAAAAAAAAATAAAAACGGAGTGTCAAAATGACGTTTTTTCTTTTTTCTTGACACCACTATTATTTTAACTACCTTCACTCCTCGGCAATGTTTATTTTAAAAAGCGATGAATTGTAATAAATCCTAAACATATGAAAGTGAATGTATTCATTTTC